AAATAAAACCGAAGTCTGATGTCTTAGACACATTAAATTCTGTATTTGGATTTACCCATTCGAATCCACCAGTAGGAAGATATTGAGACATAGCCCAACCATATAAATTGTTGGCATCAAAATATGTGATATATGAATTTGGTTTCCCTGTATCATAATCCTCCATGTATTTGTTATTAGCTCTAGCATAACGATTACTACATTGAGATACACCACCTCTGATACCTGATCTAATAAATGCAATTTTCTCATAATCTGTTAAAAGTTCTAATTCTATTTTTGTATATTTTAACATTGCATCCCAACTTAAACCGGGTGCTGTGTAATAATGGACAGGGTCTAAATCATATGTATTAATACATAACTTTCTAAAGTTTTCAAATACATCGGATAAAAGTAAAACGTCTGTTTTTAAATATAGGTTTGAATAATCTAGCATATTACAACACCCAAAATGTTCCCAAACATCTTTAGCATGATTGTAATCATCATTTGAAATATGTGAATCTGTGAGTGAACTATAAAAACATTTTTGTTCAGGGAGCGATGTTAGACTTAAACTATCATAATTAGTCATAAGTTCATATGGATAAACACCTTTCCGTTTTAAACGAAAGAAATCTTCATCATTAGGGTAATTTCTACGTAATTCTTGAAATTGATCATTACTGAGATTTTTGGCCAATTCTTCTAATTTACACGATAAAAACTTAAATGAATCTAAGAATCTCAATATAATTTCGTGGTTATTCACTTTTAATTTTTTGGAAAAGTATATATATTTTTCTTTATTTTGAGGGATAACTTCGACTTCACCATCACAAAAGTTTAACGCGTGAACAATAAAATGAGCATCATAGTGACTAAGGTTGTGTAAAAATATTGGTATATAACTAGGTGTTCTGATCTTCGAACAACATGATTCATGAGCAACACCTATAAAACTACCAGTGTACCAATCAAAATCATAAAAATGTTTTGCCAACTCAGTTTCACAAATATGACAAATGGTTGCATTTGAAATTTGGTTTTTGTCTTCATTTGTTAGTGGAAGTGGTGGATATTTTTGAAGTCTATTTATGTCTTTTAGATTGTTAGATAAACTTTCCATAAACACTTGTGCACAGTTGGGTCCGCAATATGTTACATATTTTGATAATTTATCATCATATGAACATTTTATATAATATCCAAAACTATGTACTTCATGTTTCTGAATATTATGAGTGAAAGGTTTGGAAGGATCGTTAGAACATGATTCTATTGGTTTTAAAAATGCTTCAAAATCAGCATAAACTACGAATGGTATCTTTAACTTTTTTTCATAACTATCAAATTTAATTTTATCATTTGAAATAGGTTGACCAAACCAATTCTTTTTTTTAAAGTTTCACTGTTTGGTAATACTGTACAAATGTGAGCACAATCGTATTGTTCATGGTTATTTAACCTTTCCTGAGATGGAAAACGAAGTAGACATGCTTCACAAATGTACATGATGTGACCGTCTTTTGAAATTTGTTTACTAACTAACCGCGATAAATTTTTTATATAGCAATAATGATTTTTTGTATCCTTGGAAAAAAATAATAAATTGATATGTCTATCTTTACGACACTTTGTTAAAAATAATGGACCTACTATAGAATTACATCGTTTTTCTTTATTATATTCTAACCCAAAAACATTAATACTAATATCATTTAATTTCTCTACTTTTGCTATGTCAGAAATTTTAACCGGAAAGGAAATACCATCAAATTTAAGTTTATTTGCATGTTTAACGTACGATGATACCCGATCGGTGTGTTTGTTTACAGGATATAACGCCGAGAGTAACGCCCATTTAAAACAAAAATAATCCTTGTTTTTTACATTTATAACAGCCTTTTTTAATTTTATGTCACGAGGAAGATCTATGTATGAAGTACCGCGTAGGGGGTTAAATTTATTAACATTCATGTCTATAGATTTTATGTTTTTTAGACTCCATCCACTATCTTTTTTTTCGAAAGCACTAATTTTAGTAGTAATTGTATCATTTAAAGATGAAAGAAAAATATTTAAGTCATCTCCTTGACAAATAATATAGTTAAGCGTTTGAAAATCGAACGTATCATGAATATCTTTAGTTTGTTGAACAAAATCAGCATGCAATATGAAGTTTACCTTAAAAATTATGTGTTGATGAATACACTCTTGTAATAAAAATAAAATATCATCTTTAATAGAATTTAAAAATAGTTCAGGAGTTTCAAAATTTACCCATGTCGAACGATCTACTCTACTCTTGATTTTATAAGTTAAAATCCTATTTCCAAAAGCAGATTCAATAACACTAACGTTTGATAAAGAATTATGTGAATTTAAAAGATTATTTTTATGAACATTACTTTTAAAATGATTAGCTAAATACCGTTTCTTGATAAATATATGGCACGTTGGACATTCCACTTGATCATCGTTACTGATACTGTTCCCTGCAGAGGTATGCGCTTCTGCTTCCGTTGTTGGTTTTTTGATGATCTTGGATTCTTTGCTGCACGTTCGCTTCGTTCCTCTTCCAAGTTATAGTGGTTGACTGCTAAAATGTTTAAATTTATTAAAAACTGTATAAGACAATATGTAAATTATGATCGAAATGAATGTTTATTTTACATACTTAAACTGTGTTTCAACCATCGCACAGTGATGATACAACTCATCATGGTATGACGAATCGAACAGTTGACCCCTCTCCATTTCTTCACAAACTTTAGACAACTCCTGATTTAATTCGCTATTGAATAGTTCCGTATTCTCGTCCATGATTGAGGAGAAAAAAGCACTGGTGCACACTTCACTGAAGTTTTCCCTTCCTCTTTTTTATTTTTGATTCAGCTTCAAAAAAATGATCAATCGATTGCGATTTTCTTTTTCCACCATCGCATGTGTTATTATTAATGACGAGGTTATCACTCTCTTCTTGAGGGGAGAGTGGCGAGTAGTAATACTGTTTATAGGTATCTTCATCGAAGCTCAATGATTTCTGCAACAACACAGTTATCATGTTAATATCAATTTGTTAACACTTAATCATAAAAGTTAAAAAGTTAAAGTTACAGCCTATTAAAGTCCACTGCTGAACATAGGCCTCCTCTCATTTCTGAGAGGGTTTTAGAGCAAGGAAATGTCCGCCGCGCTCCCTCAAAGTGTGTTGGCGAACTTCACATGCCTTCGAAATTTTCTCAGACATGCAGGTTTCCTCACGATGTTTTCCTTCACCACCAAGCACGTGGTAATAAGCACTTAAAATTGCTATTAACAATTTAATTGGTGCTGGCGGGGATCGAACCCGGGTCGCGTACTGTGAAATTTACAGCTAGCGCTAACCATCTGAGTTACCACGGCTTAATCATATACATACACAATATTTAAATAAAATAATACACACACATGAAAATAACAGAAAAAAAGTAATTTAGTCAATAGAATAAACACTTACATCCATAGCCTTTGGTGTATTGAAGTAACACAAATGTACTATTGATAGATCCACTGTAGCCAAACGACCGTACACTAACTCGATGACTGCGTTTGTTGGTCTTATATACCACCAGTACGTAAAAATTCTAATCTAAAGTATTTCCGTAATGAGTTGATAATTACTTTATGCGTCAACCAGTTTATCTCACATTTCCGTTGCCTATCTCAACATTTCTTCGTATTGTGTTTTGTTTGGTGATCAATGACTCAAGTACGATTTGTATAACACAAAAATGCAATTTAATATTTAGAAACATATCAGTTTATCTCACATTTCCGTTGCCTATCTCAACATTTCTTCGTATTGTGTTTTGTTTGGTGATCAATGACTCAAGTACGATTTGTATATCACAAAAATGCAATTTAATATGTAGAAATCACTATAATTGACCATTCCTATGTTATTCATTGAGTAGCTAGGTACTGTAATAATTTACTAATAGCAGTAATATCATGGATACACTAGATGTACAACAACATCTGAAAAAGATTCACCCCAGTCTAGAAAATAATGTTTATGCAGCTAATAGACTGCCTATGTATACCCACGTACCAACGTATAATATATAATTTGGATACAGATGATAAACCAGGGTCACATTGGGTAGCTTTATATATCGATACGAATGACGTCGGTCAATATTTTGGTTCATATGGACGATCACCTGTACGATATCATCTAGAGTTTTTAAAAAGGAATTGTAAAAGATGGAACTGGAATGTTGATAGGATTCAGAATGAGTGGACTTCAGTTTGTGGCGAATATTGCTTAATGTATTTACTATATAAGTTTCAAGGATGTTCAATACATAGTTTTACGAGTATATTTACAAGGAACACATTGTACAACGATATTTTAGTGGATGAGATGTTTCGCTCCTATTTTATAGATAATAATTAATAAGATTTTGTATTTTATAAATAAAAATTGTAACAAAATTATGTAATGTGTTTTATTGATGATTCAGATTAGCGTTGTATAAACAAAGAACTATAACACAATAGCACTGATATAGTCGACGCACACGCTGCAATGAAGGTGATTAAGGAACAATAGAACAATAGAAATAGGAACAATGGGACGCTAATGACGGTGGAGGCCCTTACCGGATATCAATTAGATATTAGCTAATTGATCTACACATCTCCGGAACCGTGCATTCTATTTTTTTTTTTTTTTTTTAGGATCGGGCGTCGACGAACGTCGTTGAACCACGTCTGACTCAGGTGGTCTAGAAGTGGTACAACTACACTACTTACGACGATAGTAGTAGTAGATGTACTGCTATATTGTTATTTGGTTATTGGTTATGATATGAGTGATTCGTGGGTTGAGGTGCCCCCCCCCCCTGATGCCTATGCTACGGGCGATCGCCTGGGTCCCACTGCCCTTGGAGGTCAATGTTAAGTAGTGAATATTACAAACTGAAAAAGATGAAGACGTACGTATAACCAGTGGTTCAACAATTATTTACCAGATGTCTCCAAACGATTTGCGGCACCGTCTTGTTGTGGTTGTCAGCTATCTGCTTGAGGACGGGGTCCTCGACCCGCGGCGGCGGTGCGCCTGGCAATGCTATGTGGTGGAAAAGGGATCCAGAAGGAGAATAAGCCATTGCAGCTATATCATTCTCACGGCAATACTTCAGCACAGAAGGCTGCTGTATTTGCAAATTTAGCTGAAATCGTATGTAAAATGTGATAAAAATAGAAGTTAAACATCAAACTTATTTCAATCAAAAACTAGAAAGTCTAAAAATGTAGTGCAACAATTTAATATAAAATTTTAAATCTTGTCCTTAACAAGTTTACTAAAATAACCAAGTATAGAGATGACATACCCAACAATGACATAACCAAGTATGAAATATATTATTGAGGATGATGATGTATGGGAAAACTCCGACGCTATACTTGAATAGAATCTAGGTACATACCTCAAACTGCGCCACCGCCGGTTTAACGCGTGAATTTTTAACAATCCTCTCTATCATATGCGGATTAAAATTTGAAACTCCTATAGATTTAGCGAGGCCTAGCTGCTTAGCTTCGATCATGCCCTCCCAAGTCTCTAGATAGTCGGTAAGGTCATATGTCCCGTTTTCCTAGAATTAAAGTTGTAAGACACAGTGTTACTTATATATAAAAAATACACTTATTAATACACCCAAATATTAAAATATAAAATTATTATTCTTTAACATCAGCCCGAAATAATCCAATCATCAGCAGTGGCCGCAAAATCGTACTAGCTTTACCAAATGTTGGACAGGGTGATGTACAATGTAACTAAACTGAAAATATTACTGTACTTAATTTTCGTTTCGTTAAAAATGCTTAATATTAGCAAATTGATAGTTTATTTAATATTTGAATGGAAAGTTTTTTTCTCACTAAAACTACGAATTCGCCTTTTTTTAAATCATTATGAAAGTTAAAGATTTTCCTTAGTGAATTGCTCGATACAAAAAAATCGCAGTTTCCACAAAATCTACAATTTTAGGTACGTCCATTAAGGGAAAACGCAGTTTCATTCGAATGTAATTAAATCAATTTCAATTAAATAGTTTTATGCGTAACCAGTAAATACATGGGGGGTATATTTAATTTGAAAAAGAAATATCAAATAAATATCGTGCAATAAAATTGCGCGCGGGCCGGCCAAACAGGAGCATATGTATATGCATACATAAAGCGCTCCCCGCTCGTGACCACGGTACTATTTCACCTTACGTATTTAAATTCAAATAAATAATTCTCAAAAACACATAATAAACTAATTATTTAACGGGAGCAACACTGCTGTATCATTAAGTCGCCTTGAATGCATAATATATATATGATTTTTATAAAATAAGTCACAGAAACTCACGAATTGTCCGACAGGGAAGTGTATGAGGTATAGGTCCACATAATCCATAGAAAGCTTTTCTAAAGACCTGCGTAAAGCAGGCACCACAGCATCGCGTGCGTGTGCGTCGTTCCAAAGCTGTTAAAATAAAACAAAATGAAGAAACGGTACTCAAAGATATTAATGCATCCCATGTGTGAAATCAATTAATGGTTTACGTATAGGTATCTAATTTCAACCAAAATATTAAGTAAAATTAATAAACCCCAACATTTTCACAAACATTCAAATATATATAGGTACTTATATATAATAATTATTAATGTTTATTGTCCTGTATGCATAATTTAAGCCATTTATCCGATTACGATCGGATTACGATAAAACTGGTGAATTGTTGTGATGTTCCCGCCGAAAAACGCATTGCAACAAATGACACTGTTATATAATATTATTATACTTAGGTCATTGACTTATATGTTACTAGTGAATCTGATGTTAGTAAAGATGTTCATTCTATACTATGTGTACAAAAATTAACGTCTCGTTGAAAACGCTTGATAAGAGGACGTAAATTGAATATCAAAAACAAAACAAAAGAATCGATTTACGCGTCTTGTTGAACAACGGCAGAATGTTAAATTCTAGTTTTAAATATCCTTTAAACAGCCTCAGTTATACGACTTATTGTTATTTACAATTAATAAAAAATGGTACCTTATCTGTTATGAAAACATCTTCTCTCTTTACGACTCCTTCAGCAATCTTTCTTTGAATACCTCGACCCAGCTATTAAAAAAAAAACGTGAATTTATTTATGATAGATAATTATTATCAGTCTTCATCGTCTGCTCTGGGACCGTTTCGAATATGTGAGGATTTGACGTATATTTTACAGGCTTATACGAAATGCTTACTAAAAGCATTTAACTTTACTGAAAACTGATATCTGACAAACAGGAATTATTTGTAAAAAATATTTTTGTAACAAATTTCCTATCACACTGTACGAATTTGACGGATGGCGGCTAGGCGAGAAAAGTGTAGGTTTTTCCGTCACGACCCCTATAGAAAGCTATAGTGCGAGCGAGATGGAATTATATCCATCCATTTTTTACGTGGTAGAGCCAGCTGCAGCTATATTAATAGCATTATAGTTGTAGCATGAATGGGTCGGCTCGACCGGGGAAGGACCACGCTCTCACAGAATACCAGCGTAAAATAGCAGCTTAACACTGCTGTCAAAGATGTTTTTTGACTGCTGTGTTTCGTAAGGCGAGTGTAGAGAACCGGAGACCCTTTTTACTGGAAAAGAGGCATTCTATCTTAGTCCTCACGGCTGACAACGCATCTGCATTTTAATCCGCAAACGAAGATAGATGTAGATGTCTATGGGCCACAGCAACCACTTACCATAAGGTGGACTGTGTTCTCGTTTGTCACCCTTATTCTATAAAAAAATCTTTGTCGAACTTTTTCTTATCTTGCCATGAAAGCAAACAATATTATTTCAAATGACCATTCATTTTAATAGACGCTAGTAATTCACTTATTTGTATTTGTTAATCAATAATATATTATAGTATACTACGAAAGGAACTTTGTTCGAACCGTCGTGGAACACTGGCGCATGTTTTTTTTTTTTACTTTTGAACACCGCATTACCTCCGCTAGCTATAAACTATTGGTTGTTATGCGATTTGGCATAGGTCCTACCAACCGAAGCCAATCGTTGGGAATATTCCCTCATTCTTCCATCAGCATATGTACTACTACGATCGGAATCCTTTTATGAGGAATTTCACTTCTTCCCACGCTCAACAGACCTCGTTCGAAAACGTCATCCTCACTCAAATTAAGGGTTACCATTTGACGTCTCAGTAGCGCAATGACAAAGCATTTGACTGCGGCGCTGCGGGCCACGGCTTCTAACCTGGCACTGATCAAGTTTTTGTATGGTCTATAAATAATTATTGTGGGTCTGGATGTTTGTGCATGTACAATTTATTGACAGTCCGTCGGTAGTATTTGTACGTGTCGTACATGCCGAAGTAAGGAAATATGTAGTGAATTGAGATATATTAAATGTGCCTATATCGGTGATATAATGAAGTTGGCCTTTGTAAAGACCAAAAGTTAATAGATTTTTTAAAACCAATTCGACAGCTCTGTGGGACAGTGACTTAGCAATGAGTGCAACGCTGGGGCCGCGGGTTCGATAATTGTTCCGGGTCTAGATGTTTGTCCTTGCACAATTTATGTTTGTAAACTGCCTCCACGATACAGGAGAAAATCATATTGTTTTTTTTGACCAATATAAAAAAATACTAATACATTGCATAATACCTCGGTGTATTCTACTATATACCAAGATATATAAAAGGATTTAATTTGTTTTCTCACAACACCTAACTAACCCTACAGTAGGGGCGGCCTTAAGAAAGGCGCGTAACGGGCTGAGTGATAAAGACACTCGCACGCGGACGTAAGGTGCATTTTGATTTAATACGCGCACCGCATGTTGTTTGTTTCGACGTAGGCTAATTTCACGAATGTCACTTTTATTATGAACATTAGCACCGTTGCAACTAGGTTTAAACTCGCAAGTTTGCTACCGGAAAGTGATCCTTCTGTTCTTGTACTATTATTTATTCTGTGGTATAAGTCCACGCGATCCATGCGTACAATAAAACTAGTTGCAGCCGCACTGCTTTTTACACTAAATCAATTTTTTTGCTGCAAAAATAGATCTTCCACGTCAAATTTACAAAAAATGGACATGACCTTTCATATTTAAATAATTTTTAATCACATTATCGCTACTTATTTCTTTTTAAACTAAAAAAATACAATTACCGTAAAACCGGCCATCATTGCCCATGGCGGATATCTTTGCCCGAACACGAAAAATAACTTATATCTTGAATTGCAAATAAACTTATAGAGCTGGCAACATTTTTCAACCTATAGCGTAAACTTGAATATTTTTCTGGCAATACTAAATGCTCGTGACGTTGCAAAGCAGCAAAGTTCAACCAGTTGTCGGCAAGACATGTCAGAAGTAGGAGTAGTGTGAGGTGGTGTCAAAATCTTGTTTTACGTTTTTTCACACTGTCAGCGTATGACATCTCTCAGGTAAGTTATTTCAACTTTACTGTTACAATAAGTGCTACGCTTTATTTCTATGCTAGTTTGAGATCTGTAAATCATACCATTTTTAAGATAATGGGATGGGCAATGATTCCCGAACTTGCGAGAATACAGCAGTGACAACATTGCCCACTTCAAAAATAGTATTAGGGTTGGCAGTTGGCATTCATAATAAATATTAAATATTTTTTATTTTATATTTACGGTTGTACAATTGTCATGGTGTACGCATGTGATGTGGAGAATAGAGTAACATGTTACGAGGATAGTTTTGAGTATAAGTAAGAATTTTGATAGCTATAAATGTAGGGAAAGACCAAAAAAAAACTATGAATAGATTGTGTAAAAGATTATATGGCTTGAAAGGGGGTGAATAATGAGATGATGGCTAAAATAGATGGATGAAAGAAAAAAAACATGCTGCGGTGACGGCAAATAAATTTTTGTATTGTAGTGTCTATGTCTCGAAAACTAGTCACTTTTTTGACGGACAGAAACTTTATTTGTATGCTTTTTTTTTTGCAGTTTGGGAAAGCCTATTAAAAGAAGAAGTCTCGGAGTCCGTGGGTCTTGGCCATATAAAAATTATTCGGATGAGATGCTGCACCTAACAGTAGAAAATGTTAAAGAAAATAGGATGTACTCTAGAACAAGCGCAAAAACATTTGTGATACCTATGCGCACCATCCTAAACAAAGTGAAAGAGTACTATAACAAAAATTTTGAAACTCCTACTCGGTTATCGTTCCGAGAGGAAAAGAGTATTGTGTATTGTTCAAACATTGATTGCAGCCGGCTAATATGGTTGCCCACTAATGAAGCTTGATTTAAGTTTGACTGTTTTTGAATATCTGAAAATAAATTATTTCATGGAAAACCACCGGGCAACGACTGGGTTACACGTTTTCTCGATCGGCATGTAGATGAATTTAAAGACGAACTAGTATTTTCCGATAACCTCTTTTTATCATTGTTGGGAGACAAAAATAGCGTTGACGTAAGGGATACAATGGATGATATGATAGGAAATAATGACGATGCAACATAAGATGAAATTTTACCACCTTTCACTAAAACTAACATATTAGACAAGAAAAACGAAACTTCTACTTTACAAATCACGCCCACATTATGGGAAATAAATGTTTCAAGTGCTATCATCATTCGTGAATATGCTGGGACAAATATTATTTTGAAACCAAAGAAATATAACATATTTAAGACTGAGAAACAAAACACGAAAGATTGTATCTTATGTAACTATACGGTCCACAAAACGTACGTCAAATATTATTTAAAAAAAAAAGGTTGTGATAAAGCAAACATTGAAACTAGACACACGATAGCCCAACAAAGTGATTTTGTGTAACTATTCTACCTGACTTATTTTTAATACAAAAGTTTATAATATGAAAACAGATTATTATTTATCACATTATGTGACAACCCTAACCCACCATTTTAGTTTGTAAGAAAATGTACCTTTTGCGTAGTATAACATTGCCCACCCAAGTGATTTAAAACATAAAAAGTTTTAGACATTTTGAACAAGATGGATGGCAACTTTGCATATCCCATAACATACTTTATTACCAAAGTCTTAGAACTGATAGTTTTAGAAAAAATAAAGCTGAGCAATGTTGGACGGTTGTGCGTATAATTTTGCCCGGCTATTTAAGCACGTTTTTCTAAAATTCTGTTAAGGCCAGGGGCACAAGATTTTGTAATTTAAAACCTTTAATGCTAATTGATATATTGATCAACTTAATTACGCATTCTTGTAGGTAAATACTTTTAGCAAAATCTCAAAATTTTGTAAAATTGCGGGCAATGATGGCCGGTTTTACGGTAACGGTTGTGTTGTTTCGGATTTGTTTACGAACACAGGCCGATGGCCCTCATACCATATTAAGATCGGTCGAGCGACTGATCCAAGTCTGTATCCGAGTTGTCGCTGTCACCGAGTGATACTGTTATAATGTATCTAAGTGTATGTGAAATTGGTAGCTTATTGTTTTAATTGTTATGACTTTCGTAGTGATAGTTGATAGATTTTGTGTGCGCTGATTTCCCCCGCAAAATAGCAGACAGTACAGTATCGGAGAAAAACACTATGGATACTCCCCTCCGGATCGTCGCCGATGGTCAATGTTGCCCTATAATTTTTTTATTGTATTTTTTTCAAACGTTACCCCACACTAGGATTTTCTCCTCTATCGTGGAGGCAGTTTATAAACATAAATTGCACAAGGACAAACATGCAGACCCGAAACAATTATTTGTAGGCCATACAAATACTTGTTCCGTGTGGGATTCGAACCCGCGGCCCCCAGCACAACAACTCATTGCTAAGCCACTGTGCCACGGAGCCGTCGAATTGGTTCTTGTCATAATGATAAGAACACAAAAAAAGTGTGTGTGTGTTCCGACGCACGACTGAAGTTTACTCCTTACGATTATATATGAAATTTAATATCAACACTCCGCAAGTTGACCGATTTCCATAAAATTTAAATGGGACCACCTGGGAAGTATAACCTTTAAAACATAAAAAGAATTTTCTAAAACAGTTCAGACGTCTTCGAGTAATCCGTGTACATAGATAAGAAAATAAAGATTCTGTCGAATTGAAAACCTCTCTCCCTTTTGAAGTCGTTTGAAAAAGGGAAAGAAATCGGCGGACGTGGCGGTATATTATTGAGGATTTGACATTCTGATAGATATACTCTACCAGTTAAGATCTATAATAAATATATAAATGTATTAACAAAAAAAAAATCGTATGTTTTATCTCACCGCTTCTTCCGTTTGGTAGATCACGCCAACATCAAACAGCCGGTACCCAGCATCGATTGCCCAGGCCACGGCTTGCTCCATTTGATCGGGAAACACTTCTGCTGCATGCGTCTAAATAATTTAAAAATAGGTAAAGGTAAAATTTATCTCATCCCATTTCGTATTGAACTTAAACTTATTTTAGATTCGTTAAAAAGCTTTTTAAAGTATTATTTTTTTATTTCTAACTTCACTTTCCCTTCATGCACTAACTTCACTTTTCTTGCCTTACCCTATGATAAATAATTGTTTCGTATAACTATCGAAATAAAATCTCTAGTCTTCTTCTTAAGTACGGCAGAAACAACGAATAAAACTAAAATAAATGATACTACGGGGTAATGGATTGTTATATGCCGCTATTACACTGCATGAAATATCTAAAATATTGCGAAAAGGACTACATACCGTATTAAACATGCCAAACCATGTTCCTAAGCCGATGCCTGGCATCCGACGTCCATCGTTGAGCTGATACCAAGGAACTGTCGCCGAGGTGCAAACACTCTGAAATTAAAGCGTAAACTAAAATGAAAGCATATTATATAAGTCTCACAGGTCTGTCCTCACTTGTGAAAAGTTACAGGTCAGTCATTCTGTCATAATGTCCTCAAAATATTTTTATTCCTCGAATACGCAGGTTTCTTCACAATGTTTTCCTTCACCGCCGAGCACACGGTACATCCAGTACTTAGTATTATACACAGTACACTTTTCAAAAAATAATTGCATTAGTAGCGTCGCGGCTCATATTCAGGTAGCTTGCTCACTATGAAATTTACTGTGAGCGCTCAGCCTCTGAGCTACCACGATAAAATTCTCAGGGAATGAAATAATTAAAAAGGTCTCAATTAATGACGTGGTCTTCAGCTATAATTTAAGCATTGTTTTACGGTTATAATATGTTACCACTCTCCTACAATAATACATTTATACTAGGTAATCTTTACTGCCTAATAGTCTGTCTAAGACTTAGACAGGCTATATTATATATTGGTACAATTAAAACGTTCATCTACATTTCACGCGGACGTAATCAAATCTTTCTTTAACAAAGAGAGACGATTCGATTTAGAATATAAATATATTTCTTTTTAATTTTGTACATAGTTTGTTTGTACTTTGTTTTTTTGTTCATGCTTTACTTTTGTTCATGTATTGTATTGTATGTAAATATCTTTTTCTTTCGTTCAAGCAAAGCTTATTATATAAAGCTAAGGTAATTTTTTTGCTAGTGCGTGCAGTGCGTGGTCAGTGGGGTGTCACGGCCGGCTGGCGGTAACTGGAAGAAACCTTTATGTTGATGGTTAAAGTAGCGAAAAATATAACGGTACCTTTATTTTTCTGTACCGAAAAATTTGTGTATCTGAATTTTAAGCTATCGCAATAAAAAGGTATGACGTCATACCCTTAACCGTTATAACCCATAATTTTTCGGTCATGCAATCCCTGGTCTAAGTAGGTACCAACTTCCTGTCGCCAAATAACAGTGCTTGAACTGCGGTGTTCTATTCTAAAGTGTTTAGAATGCCATATAATTACAGGCAATGACGTATTTCATCTAAATCTTCAGAGGTAGCAGTCTTCTTTGTTTTTTGTGTTCATGGGCTCCACTGCCACTTATTACCAGGGAAATTTTAGTTCGTTTGTCACTTCAGTTTTAAAAAAATAATATAAATATTAGAGTGACATACGATTAAACAATACACCTGCTGGTAAGTGGCTACTGCACTCTAAGGATACAGGCCACTGCCACCACCAACTTCGAACAAGAAAGACCACAGATGAGTTGTCACCTTCGAGGACAATGTTATAAGATTAAATACCTCTCAGGTTGTATTATACTGAACCTCTTACCCCTCAAACCGGAACAAAGGAGTGTATGCACTACTGTACTACCTTTTTTACATGGGGCAATGCCTACGCATACCCGCCTCGCGAGGTCAAGACCCCCAGAACAGACGCCAGAAAAGTACTCTCTCTAATAAGTACGTAGTAAGTACCTAGTTAAACTACAAAAACGAGTAAGTGCTTAAATAAAGTATCATACTCAAATAATTGGGCTGTCTTTAATTTTATTTAATTAAATGTTATAGAAAGATTTGACAACAGACCGATAGAGCCTCTCCACTCTAAAAGACCAATATTTTTACATATCAAGTCGTTTACGAAACCCGGATATTTAATATTTTATGAATATTATTGACAGATACATAATATTTTTATGCAATAAAAACTAAAGAGAAACAAATTAAGTGCATATTTAAATATAATAACAACATAATTAAAAGAAAACTTACTGCAAGAAGTGATAGAACAAGGAATACAACTATATGTTTTGTCAAGCCCATATTAAATTAATGGGCTGACTGCTAGTCAGCTTTGCAGTATCCTGTTCGAATAAAATATGAAGTTACAGCTCTGTTGTCGTTATTTATATACATTGCAATACATTATTTAAATCCATTATCTAAATTATCTAAATTGAGTTTATCAGTTAAGTACATAAATATCGAGTGTTTGAATTTTAATATGCAAATATGATTTTAACTTGATAACTTCAATAACTCTTATAATTATCTTTATACATAGGTGACATTGAAATGAATCAACTTTCTAAACGTATTTAGGAAATCAAAAACAGGCCTGAGGAGTCTGTTCCTAATATCTTTAATGCTTTTTTAGAAATCTCGCGTTCAATAAAAACACTGGTAAAAGCGGTGAATCACTTTTAGGAGAAATACTGTAGGTAAAAGCACCCAGACATTTAGAAACAATCCAATAGATGACAAAAATGAATGAACGGCTATACTTTTATTGGACGCCATCGCCACAAAACAAAAAGATACAAAAAACATTAAATAACTAAATAGATGGCATACCTAATTAAGCGGCCTTATCGCTGTATATTGATCTGTTCCAGGTAACCAAAGGCGTAAAGAACCAAAGCTAGAGATACAAGAACAATATTATAATAAAAAAATCTTTAAATATGATGAAAACTGAGGACTTACGGGAGTTTTCCTTGCCAGTATTAATAATGTACTACTTATAATTTGTGATTAGGCGCTTTAATAGGATATTTTTGTAGGATAAAAATTAATTGTTAATAGTTAAAAAAAAAAAGAAGAAAAATAAGATAACCATAAGTATATAACAGTGAGTGCCTGTTGCCTCGGATGGAATGCTGTGTTTGCCAAAGGATTTTTTCATCGGGAATAGGCCTACGTATCCACCAGGGACGTATCCATCAGGTCCGTATAACCCCTATTCCATCTTCATGACACACCCCGGCTCCCTGCTCCCATCCTCCATTACCTCCCACCCCCGACACTTCTCTTCAGACTCTCCTCGGCCAACTCAAGCAGTCAACTCCCATTATAAAACGTATTCCACGCGGTGCCCGGTCGACGGTTTCAGAGGCATTAGCGGCCGAAATAAATAATTGCGTTAGAAACAACAATAGTAATTCTTGGCATGACCTCCTTACCTTTTCGTTCAAAATTCTCCATGTCTCAGATGAATCCAACAGTAATATTTCCCTAACGCAAAAAATAAAAAACAACACTTTAAATCCGTCTATACCTATTTGCGATCCCTCGTCTGGAACCCACAGAAAGAAGTATGACTTGTTTGGGAAGGTCGAGGATAAAATACACGACGGTGATCTCAAAGGAGCAACACGCCTTTTGTTCTCAAACGACACCTTAGCACCCGACACGCCGGAGACCAAAGCCGCATTACAGTCCAAACACCCCCCAGGCCCTTCCACCCCGATTTTTGTAGACCCTCCATCTGACCCCCCAGGCTGCCTCCACGCCACGGTTAGAGACGTTCTAACAGCCCTCGCCTCGTTTCCAAAAGGATCGGCGTCTGGTCTAGACGGCATATCCCCACAGCATCTGATTGACCTTACCAGCTACGGCTCTGGTGTAGCTGGTGAACAGTTGACTACAAGCCTCACAAAATTGGTCAATCTCATGCTTATGGGAGATGTTTGCCCGGATGTGACGCCGCTGATATATGGAGCAAATCTTATTGCCTTGGCAAAAAAGGATGGTGGCGTGCGCCCCATCGCAGTAGGTTCTACATTCCGACGTTTAGCAGCCAAGATCTGCGTCCGGCTCACTAGAACAAAATTACAGGCCCTCTTTGAACCAGTACAAGTCGGATTTGGAACGCGTGGAGGTTGCGAGGCAGCAGTCCACGCTGTACGTACCTTCCTTAAAAGTGATTCATGCGAGGTTCTTCTAAAATTAGACTTAAAAAACGCATTTAATTCGGTCAATAGGGACACTCTGCTAAAAGAAATTAAAATACATGTCCCGGAAATTTATAACTTCCTTCTCCAGTGCTATCACTGCCCCTCAAAACTAGTTCATAAATCTAATGAGATTATTTCGGCCGTAGGCTGTCAGCAGGGTGATCCCCTGGGTCCAGCAATATTTAGTTTGGCAATAAATCCGATAATCCACTCCCTAAATTCAAAATTAAATATTTGGTACCTCGACGATGGGACCTTGGCCGGAGACGCGCAGACAGTCCTAGCTGATTTGGTGCATGTTAAACAGCATTTCAATCGCATTGGTTTAGAATTAAATTATGACAAATCTGAATTATATATTTCGGACAAAGTAAATCCACTAACCGCTTCCCAGATCGCTCAAAATTTTAACAACATTGCTCTTAACATTAAAATAGTAACGAAGGACAGTCTGCACCTCCTCGGCTCCCCCATCTTTGAGGAGGCCATTCCTCTTCTCTTAAATAAATCAACAACAAACTTCAGCAAGTATTCGGACCGCCTTCTCAAAATTAGTAGCCACTCTGCTTTATTTATTTTAAAATTCTGTCTGTTTGTCCCTAAATTCACTTACATGCTTCGCTGTTGCCCTATTTGGAAATTCCCCCATTTGATCACACCTATTGACACTCTAATGAAATCCAAAATTGAAAACATCCTGAACATTCACTTGAACGAACAGGCTTGGACCCAAGCCGCTTTACCAATAAGGAACGGCGGCCTGGGAACACGCAAAATTTTAAGTGTGGCTTTGCCTGCATTCCTGTCTTCAATCCACAGCACGCTAGATCTCGCAGGTAGAATATTAAAAGCCCCAGCGGGCATTAACTGCAAGATTGCATGTTTGGACGAGGCCACGAATGCATGGCTAGCCGGACCGAGTCCAAATCTCCCATCCAAACCACATAAGCAAAGGGCCTGGGATACAATAGCGTCCGTCGCCACCTTACAAACTTTAATAGAGCCTTCAACTGGCAGGGACCGGGCCAGGCTGTTAGCTGTGTCCAAGCCAGAATCTGGTTACTGGCTCCAGGCATATCCCTCGCCCAACACTGGGACTTTTATCAACCCGGACACTCTACGCATAGCCGTCGGTCTCCGGCTGGGAGCTGGGATCTGCACAGGTCACAACTGTGTTTCTTGTGGGACTCCAGTGGACCGACTCGGCCACCATGGCCTCTCCTGCACCTCGGGCGCCGGCCGCCTGTCCCGCCACGCTGCTCTCAACGACATTCTCAGAAGGGCGCTCGTCAGTGCCAACGTTCCCGCCGCTCTGGAGCCCCAGATTGTGCGGAGGGATGGCAAGCGCCCTGACGGAATGTCGCTCATACCCTGGAAGTCGGGCCGTGCGCTGGTGTGGGACGCCACCTGTACAGACACCCTGGCGGCGTCCTATCTACCAGTAACTACCAAACATGCGGGGGCGGCGGCGGACGCCCGGGAACGCCTCAAGGTCTCTAAATACAGCTGTCTCGGCGCCCAATATCAGTTTTTTGCTTTCGGCGTCGAGACACTAGGTCCCTGGGGCAAAGGTGCGCTGGAACTCCACAGGGAGCTCAGCAAAAGGTTGAGGGAGGCAACAGGCGACCCTCGCGCCGGCGGCTTTCTCGCGCAAAGAATTGCAATCGCAGTTCAACGCGGGAATGCTGCCTGCGTGATGGGCACCCTGCCAAGAGGCCCAGGCCTCTTATTTAATTAGTTATTTTATTTTATTTTTAAGGTTTAGTTTTAGTTATTTTAATTTAGTAATAGTTTTAGTCTAGTATAATTTTTTTTTTTTTAGGTAAAGTTGTTTTGTTACACAATGTCATTTAATTGAGAAGTTGGTTTTAATAAACTTTTGTTAGTGATGTACTCCAGAGCGAATTTCTGTTACGGCAGGCAGTCACAACTCCCAACGGAAAGTGATCTACGCAGACAAAACATAGTGCACTACAAGCAAAAGTACACTCTCTATTTGTTCGCACTCATAGTCCGATAGAAGGGAAATTCGACACAATCAGAGAGAGAGAGAGAGAGAGAGAGAGAGAGATCAGAAGCAGTTTTCTACTAAGAATTTTTAACCCAATTACTGAATTTGCCCCTATACAGGATTCGAACCCAGGAACTTATGATCAGCAATGGTGTAATGGGTGCATTCAATGTTAACAGTATGTTACATATATAAAACAATATGGCTTTGAAAAAGGCAGATCTATAACTGACACTGGTTCTTCGTTGATCCAACATAATATCTTCAACGCATGGGAGATTTACAAAACGCGATATTGTGTTTTTTTGCGATTTATTACGTGGTAGAGCCATGCCACAGCTATATTGTGATTAGCACGAATGGTACGGCTCCACCGGGAAAGGACCACGCTCTCACAGAGTACCAGCGTAAAATAGCAGCTTAATGCTGCTGCGTTTTGTATGGTGAGTGTAGAGAACCGGCAACCGTTTTTACTGGAAACAAGACATTCTACCTTAGTCCTAAGGGGTGACAACACATCTGCATTTTGATTCATAACCGAAGATAAATGTAGATGTCTGTTGTCCACAGCATCCACTTACCATCAGGTGGACTGTGTGTTTATTTGTCACCCTTATTAAAAAAAAATAATATTCCATGCATTCTATTGTGTTGTACCACGCTACCGTATATCTGAAATTAATATGCTGTTAAGAATTATGGCCAGATATGGCTCTAAAATTAATCGCGTCGTATTTCAGTGAGCAAACGCAGATAATAGAAGTCAGTGTTGATAAGTCACAACATCTCACATATAAACTAAATTGTGTGTCTGTCTGTAATATTGAAATAATTTTTCTCAGGGGGTACATGCTATTAGGACATAATAACCACTTTTTAAATTTTTGTCTGTCTGTCTGCCTGTTTACCTGTCCGAGCTAATCTTTGCAATAGTTGAGCCGATTGTGACGAAACTTTACGAATATATAGATGGATAGAGTGATGGCTAATGAGGCTATATTTTATCTGAAATGGATACGAGTTATTTTTTAAATCGAAGACCTGACTAATAATATTTTTTTATAGAATAGGGATGACAAACGAGCACACAGCCCACCCGATGGCAAGTGGCTGCTGTGGCCCAAAGACATCTACACCTATCCTCAATTAAGAATCAA